GTAAACATAACTGTGTTTACTCCACAGGGCACCTTTAATCTTTCTCCCCTTCTCCCACAGTTTCATTCACCCCTCTGTCTGCATGTGTGCTGCTGTCTACTTGTGAATTATTTCTTTCCCTCTCTATCGCTCAGTTCCCTGAACTTTCAAGGTCTCGGCCAGTGAATGCAGCAGAAATCACCCTTGATCACCTTCATCCTAGTTTAAGCCTTTTTGTTTTCATCATCCAGCCACAGAGCCCAGCCTCCATCTCCAACCAATTCCCTCTCTAATCACTGCAAATACATGTCCAATGAAACAGCAGAGGAGAAGCCTTTTATACAAAGAAGAAAACCACTTTCAAGGCCAGGTGTCTTGTTTGGCTCATCGCCTGAGATTATGGCTCGATGAGAGGTGGTTACATCAGATCCTCGCTGGTGGAAAATTAACTTGAGGCCAGTGTTGTTAAGCCTGTTTCAAGCCAGCAGTGCTACCTGGGTTAGACATTAAATTAAATTCTGTGAGAATACCTGCCCGCTCATATAGGCTATTTGTAGTGTAGTACTGTAGAACATAACACACATGGGCAGAGGGTTCCTGGAAGTGTGCGTTCATTGTGCACAGTCATCTGAAAGCACCCGGTTTATGACCTGCACTGCAACTGTTTCCTGACGGTATCTTGTTTTACATGTAATTTTTCTGTTTTAGCCTATGTCTCATCCATTCTGTTTGACAGTAATTCACAGTAAGCAACTCTTGGCTTCAGTTTCTGCTGAAATCAAGATGACTGTGATTGGCGATCACCTGGCCGTCGGTCGCACTGTGTCATAGGATATCAGCACAGAGTTCAGCATTCTTCGGCGTTATGCAGTTGCCCCTGTAGTGAAGCTGTGCACTTCTTGAATCTGTCGGGCTGTCCTGGGGGTACGGGGCTAAAAAGCCAGGTCTTATTCACAATGGATGGCAGCTGTGCCTGGCCCTGTGTTTTGAATTTATGTATATTAGAACGCTCATCAGTTCTTGGAAGCAGTGGCACCTCTTTCCTTTTCTCCAACCAAGGCCAAAGCAGTGGAGTGCATCTCCCCTGAGATTTTTTTTAGATCACATTTACTTTTTAGAACAGTATTTCATGGCTTCTGTACTGTGACTCTGATTTTATCAATGGTCCAGTGTGCGCTGTGGGCTCCACATGATGCAACACTGTTTTATGTGTTACGCTACACAGCGTGTGCGCTGCAGTCCAGACACCCACTCTGAACAAACTTGTAATTTGCTGGTGCAACAGGCTGCTAGCTTAATCAGTCAAGCTCACTGTGATCCTGTCTTCCTTTAGTTGAACCCAGCCTACATCACCACATCTGGAAGCTCCCATAAATATTCACAGCCTGCACATAAATCAGACTAAATTGTGCACTATGTGGTTGACTATTTTGTAGGACAACAAACTGGCCAAAAACACGTGGGATATCCAAATGCTTGAATTTAATATGGCTTAAATTAAAGGTATCCTGTAGAGAGTCTGACCTCTAGTAGAACCATGGAGCAGTTTTTTTTTTGTCTGTCCCTGTTTTGCCAGTGCCCTGCAAGTGGCAATAATGAGCCAAGAAGCCAAATGATATGTCAAAAAAAATGACAGAAGAAAACAGCAAGTGAGAAAACTTGGATGTAAACAATGCTGGATCCTTGCTTGTAAAACTTTTTAAAAATCAGCCTTGTAAATGTTTTATAAGGTGTGTTTGACCTCGAGGATCCACTCAGTGTATTATGTTGAGAATGTAAACATAACTGTGTTTACTCCACAGGGCACCTTTAATCTTTCTCCCCTTCTCCCACAGTTTCATTCACCCCTCTGTCTGCATGTGTGCTGCTGTCTACTTGTGAATTATTTCTTTCCCTCTCTATCGCTCAGTTCCCTGAACTTTCAAGGTCTCGGCCAGTGAATGCAGCAGAAATCACCCTTGATCACCTTCATCCTAGTTTAAGCCTTTTTGTTTTCATCATCCAGCCACAGAGCCCAGCCTCCATCTCCAACCAATTCCCTCTCTAATCACTGCAAATACATGTCCAATGAAACAGCAGAGGAGAAGCCTTTTATACAAAGAAGAAAACCACTTTCAAGGCCAGGTGTCTTGTTTGGCTCATCGCCTGAGATTATGGCTCGATGAGAGGTGGTTACATCAGATCCTCGCTGGTGGAAAATTAACTTGAGGCCAGTGTTGTTAAGCCTGTTTCAAGCCAGCAGTGCTACCTGGGTTAGACATTAAATTAAATTCTGTGAGAATACCTGCCCGCTCATATAGGCTATTTGTAGTGTAGTACTGTAGAACATAACACACATGGGCAGAGGGTTCCTGGAAGTGTGCGTTCATTGTGCACAGTCATCTGAAAGCACCCGAATGATGCAGGCAGATGAAGAGAAGCTGGTCGAAACCCTTTTTAAAGTTCAAAGACAAACATGGTGACCTGGTGGAGAGGCTGTGCAAAGAAATTCACCACGCGCCCTCAACACTTTGCACTGATATTACAGCAGGGGTCAGTGACCTGCATGGGTCACACTTCTGTTTATCGCTTTACACTGTCTGAAACCTGATCTCACATCTGGAACAGAAGGTAAACGTCTGCTGCAGGACACAATGTCACAAGCATAGTGGGATGTTTAATACATAACAAGGTCACATTAGTCACAAACTTATGTTTGGTCAGATTAAAGGTCAGATTTGTTTATTGACAGACAACCTCAGGAAATGTTACATTTACCTATGAACATACTGGCATTAAAAACCATATGGGATGGATCAAACTAAACTAAATCACTCTAAAGATAAATTCAGTAAATAAAGCAGCTCAAAGCCACTGCAGTGAGACTGGACCCATTTATTTCATTGTTTGTATAATCCTTCACATATTTATTAACATGAACCATAACAGAGAGGGAGAGTTGTGCGATTTTCTGATCAACAGACGAAGGATTAACACAAAGCTTTACCTCAGGCCAACTGGACAGCTTTGTGTGTGTGTGTGTGTGTGTGTGTGTGTGTAAATCCTATTACTTGCCACGGCAGATAAAGACGAGCAGATTATCCCTTTAGTGTAACAACACAAAGCAGCCAGCGATTAGCTCAGTGATAGTTTGTCCACCTAAATACGGGATGCAGTGTGTGTGTGTGTGTGTGTGTGTGTGTGGGAAATTAGGGCTCAGAAGTTGCCAGTGCTCGTGACAGTAATGGGAACCTAATGTGCTTTGTTTGCATGTGTTGTGTTGACATTCAGACTACTAAAACACAGGAAGTGTGTATAAAAACAACTGCAGCTCCTTCACTGTATCTAAACAGGGGTTAAAAAGTCTGACACCTCCCACCCAGACAGAACAGAGACAAACACACCCCAGCACCTCCCTTGGGGCACAATCTATAAAGAACCATTGCTTTCATAACCTGGTGGCTATAGGAACAACTGAACATTATCACACTCATGTGAAACACTGCAGGCCAGTTGGACTAGACTGGCTTAGTTTGAGCTAGGTGTGCCTAATAATCTGACCACTGAGTGTGAGAGTGTGTGTGTGAGAGAGAGAGAGAGAGAGAGAGAAATGCAGCGAAGGAACCAAAATAAAGATGGCAGCATTAAAAATCATCAGCAGTGGCTCTTAAATCTGTCACTCTGCTTTACAGCCGTCTCCATTTTTATGGGCGTACTGATAGAAAGACAGTCACTGAAGACTGCCTTCATGATTGGCTGCAGGTGCACTACACTCACACACACACACGCACACAGGATTTCCTCCTGCAGCCATTGTCACGCCATCAGAGGTTGTTATAGAAAAAATTCAAGCAAAAAATAATAAAATGGAGATTGCCAGACAGAAGGTTGAACATGAATAAGTCGAGGAAACTGCAGATGCACTACTACATGCACGCGCGCACACACACACAGGTCTGGAGCCACATACCAACAGAACATCATAGAAATGTGCACACACTCAAGCAGCCACATACATAAAGATGTGATTACCTTATGTAGGGCCTCAGTCAACCTCGCCTGGGACGGTGACCAACCACACACACACACACACACACACACACACACACGCCTGCATGATATAAGGAAAATGTGTGGTGCAATGACACTGTTCAAATTGCGATGATGATATGACTTGTGATAAATATTTAAGTGTATTCTAGCTATATGGTTCCTACCTTTCTGCTTTAACAGGCAGACTGCTAACAGAGCCCAAACATTAAATAGTCTAGTCCTACTGAGTAAGCAAATGAAATAATTACTTCAGACCTGGTTATATTGAAAAAGCAAGAAATGACCATAAAACCGTAGTCGTTGCCTTTTAGGCCTGCAGCTTCAGGAAGAATTGAAACAGCTGCTCTTTACTCACAACATGACCAAAGATTACACAGTTACAATCTGAAATGCTAAAAAGACGTGAAATGCTGTGTGGCGAAAAACACGAAGGCTCAGTGTCTCATAATTTGTCCGAGTATAATGTGTCAACTGTTACTGATCAGCTGACATGCAATCAATCAGACTTACATCTGACAACTTCACTGCCATGTCAGTCATCTCCACGGTGGCTCTGACTAGTTGTGGACTGAAAGTGTCTCCCGATTGCGTCCCCTATGCTACATGCTGTCTTGGATGTATTCTGTTCGTTGCCATCCTGAGGACAACAGTAAATCAACGAGACTGAGCAGAGACGCTGCTGCAGCAGCACATGCACAACACGTCAGCACTGACATCTTGTCTTGTTTACAACAAATCTTTGCACTCAAAATCTCAGACAACCGCTGTAAGCAGAAATGACAGTGCCACTCAAAGATAAAACCATAGACTAGAAGACCAACCACACTCACATCACGCCAACTTTAACCACCGACAGGTCAGTGAGCCTCAGTACAGACATCAGTGCAGCAACCCGGGGCCCAGGTGGCTCAGGATAGAACACAACAACCACATCTCACAGCACACACCAACATGAAACATCCAGAGTATCAGAAAACCAGCTTCCTCACCTTTGGCAGCAGCTTGTTGTTGCTCAGACGTAATGGCAATGTCTGTCAGATCCAGTCTGTTCTGTCCAGCACTGTCCTGATCCGCCTGTCAAAGGGAAACACACATATCACTTACCAGAACAGAAACACTCCGTGAAGCTATGGCTGAGGTTTCTAAATGCTCTGTGTCCTTCTACAAAGTTCAACGTGAAGGATGACAAATATACAGTACTTCTCTTCCTGTTTACCCGGGTGAAGTGGTACCAGAGCAGAAATGCAGCTACAAACATCAGTTACCATCCGGGTCCTAATTTCATATATTTCTTCATCTTCCTACACTCGTTCTGTTTCAGTCTTCGTCCTTGTAGTGTTTACAACGGACAGTCTGACTCTGACCCTACCAGCCTGTCGCCTACAGCATCTGACAGAAACAGCTGTAAAGCATCTACTGTAAGTTGCTGCACACAATCACACTTATCAAGATGACCGCCACCACGACCAACACAACTACATTATTTTGTGAGTTAAACATCTGTGTGCTTCAGGAGCCTCTGTTAACTCTAAGAAGCAACCAGCAGTGACGAACAAGAGAAGAAGGACTTCACCTGAAAAACCAGACAGAAAAAAACAAAATCAATTTCAGGCGCACAGAGGAAAATGCACAGCGTTGTAGTAAAGCTGCTCAGCAGGTTTCCTCATCATTACTGAACACACAGGTTGATTCTTACACTAAACAGCAACAAGAGCCATCTAAATGTAAATGACATATAACCCATCAACAGCTGACGTTACCCAGGCACATGTGAGCTCAGCAGTGTCAGGAACCACAAGTGAAAAGCCATTAAACAGCACCGAAACAACATGAAGAGGCTTCAGGCCAAACGGATCCGTTATTACCGACACTCAGCAACAGTAACACACACCAGCATTTTGTGCAGAAAGAAAGTAGAGGGCAAAAACTTGTATATTCTGACAGCAGTGCACTTTTAAAACTAGTAGGTGGTTCCTGGCACAGCTGCTTGTGCTGGGACAGCATCTACAGTATAGGTCTTTGTACTATGCCTGCAAAAGTTTTGCAAATTTTATTACTAATAATGCACTAGGGCTGGGGTTATTTTCATTACTGACAACACTGCAGATTATTTCTTCAACTGATCAATTAATTGTTTGATTTAAAAATGTGAAAAATGCCTGTTAACATTTTGCTACATCCCTAATTGAAGTCTTCACTTTGTCTGTTTTGTCTGTTTATTGGCATGAGACAAAGGTCAGCAGCAAATCCTCACAGCTGCTTGAGGAATCACTTCAGTGTTTAATCAGTTATCAGAGCAGCTGCTGCCTACATTTCGTTGCAGCGCTACAATACCAAGCTATATGTGTGATGCCAGACGATATTTGTCAGCAGAGCCACAGTAATCACAGCACACGCAGAGACATTATGCACCAGATGAAGGAGTCTCCGCTCCTGGAGCCGAGCTGAATTCACCTGCTGATGAAAGGAAACTCAAGTGTTGATATTTTTCATAGGTTTGCTAAGACGATGATTGCAGGTTATATTTCAGGGGAGAAGCTGTTTCCATTCATCACCGTTTTATTTCAATCTCCAGATGAAATTAAGAAGCCGAGTCAATGTTTCCTTTCTGCTCTACTCAGCTAATTACCAATCAGAGCAAATTTAAAGGCACTGGGAGCTATGTGCACCTCACATCTTAATTATGTGTGTGCGCATGTGTGTAATGAAAAGGGCCAGAGAGAGTGAGCACAGATGAAAAATAAGAGTCATCACTCTGCTGAAGTGGTTTAAACAACACTCATGCATCACAGTGTCGCTGTGGGGAACAGGCCTCATATCTACTGTTGTGTGGATTGTCAAACCCGCTCTCAAGACGACAAACGAATTTTCAGACCCACTAAAAATACAGTTTCTGTACAAACTGAGTCAATTATCTTTAGTCCATTATTTAATGTTTAGAATTTCTTTTACCACCAGTTTGAAGAAGGCTGCCCGTCACTCGGAGGTTTCTAACTGCAGCTGTCAGATAACCATGGAGAAGTGAAGAGCACACGTCTTGTCTTTTCAGTAACAACAGTTCAAACTGATGTTGGTCTGAAAATCCTTCGTCTCTTTCCCAGGAGAGGTTGGAAAAACACACATATAAAGTACATTTTTGTTTAGACCAAGAAGTCACATCATTTCTGTTGTGTTTCCTCTAATGGGATGGATCTGGCTCAGACAATGTAGAGGTTTAATAATAAAAGAGACCAAAGCAGCAGCAGCAGCGCAGAGACAGACAGACAACCAACACCAACACAGAGCTGCAAAACAGGACCAGCAACAGTAAAGAACTACTACTTAAGCAAAGTGGAAATTTGAAGAATGACTTTAACATGATTAAAATGAGATGGGAAGGTGTGTCATGGGTCCATACTGAATCCTCCACATGTGCACGGCCTACCTGTGTTTACAAATAGGCACCACAGGAAGAAATGCACTGACTAAACGTTTCTTCTTTCTGCAGTACAGGACAACACCATCAATATGTGCTTAGTATTAATTAACCCCTCGGTGTCAACAAAGACCTGACCATTAACAGCTGGCTTTATGGCAGAGCAGTTCTCTTGGATTAGACTGTACGGATGTACCCAATAAAATGGCCACAGTGCAAATTAAAAAGAGGAAATTAAGGTTAAGCAAGTAGCTGACGTTACAGTTCCCAACCTGTGCGTGGAGCAGCTCGTCCGTCCATCACCTGTAACCTCCTGCAGACTAGTTCCGTCTGTAACTTGGCATTTTTCTGCTCTGGCAGCTCAGTATTTCGTATTATGTCTCCAGTATCGTCATCTTCCGTCAGACCCAAGATGTAGTCTCTGCGCTGTAAGGTTGTTAATTAGGAAAACACACGTACAGCAGAGCAGCAGGTTAATTAGCATCCAACGTTCACACCTGTACGAACAAGGTGTTTGCGTCGATTATCACCTGTTCCTGTGGTACTTTAGCGCTGTTTTAACGTGTCCACACTGCAGAAGTTTAATCCAATTCACGGTTTATCTGTCAAAAGCCTAAATTCTGCCGAACATCATACTTTAGTTTAGACGGTGCGTTCAAACTCGCGCTCCATCTCCTGTCCGCCATATTGGATCGTAAAGGGCGTGGCCGCGCTTATTCGCAGCTTTTAAAACTTTATGTCAACAAACTTTATCACTACTCGGTAAAGTTACATAAACAAAACGTGGAAGAAATAAAGAGAAGGAAGAAATACAGATGTGTCAGATGTAAGGAAAATCTTGGAAAACTGAGTGGAAATTCAAACGCACGAGTCGCTGCTTGATCAGTTTGATTGATCCTTTTAATCACAGAATGTCAAACAGTGGGGAAATGCCTGTTGTGACTTTCCAGATCAAATGTGGTGAATTATTTCATTTAATTAATTAAGTTGGAATATTGTTTGATTTAAAACCTGATCGTAAAATAATATTAAATCATATTTTACCCTCTTGCATTCATAATATTTTATTTTTATTTCACTTCTCTTGTCTCTTCTCTTCTGAAGTCTGCTTTCCATATCTTGTCAAATTATATAAAACATTAACTACCACTGCAGTTTAAGATTCTTGTGCCTAGTTCTATTACATAACTAATTATTATAAATTATCATTAACAATAAAGTGATGTAATTACTGTTTTAGCATTTTGACTCACTGACTTGTTGCTATGAGTAGTTTTTATACTTAAATCTTTTGTTCCATTCAATCTGTGACGCTGTTTTGAATCTGATGTTCTATTAAATTAACAAATAATTTATGTAGCTGAATCCTGTATATCCCTGCTAAATGTAACTCCTCCTATTGCTTTTATTTGTAACAAAAGCAGCTGGCTGATCTCCTGTGACTAAGGCTTCTCTCAGTATATTAATTAGATTAGTTATGATAGAGCATCATTTCTTCTCTCCCCTAGGCTTTTTAAAATTAGTAAAAGTATTAAAATTTGTTGCCAATTTGCTGAGCAGCTGCCAGGTTCAGGCTGACCACAGCAGGTCTCAGTGAACGTGTCATGCACTCAGTTACCTGGAACCACACCCCTGCACGTTAGTCACGTCCAGCTGAGGAACCATTGAGAGGTCAGTAAACACCCTGCCCTCTGTGTTGGTGACTAGAGGCCAGATGCTCACTCACGCTGCAGATGTTTCTCCTGCCTGACTGGGCAGATGGTCAAAAGACACACCGCTCTGTTTTTGGTGGTGTCAGGTACACCTGCTGACGTGACAGGGATTCTCATTTGTATCACACTTCTTGGATGGGACATCAAAGTTTTTGTAGATTTTTAGAGAAAAGCTGGTCCATATAGCGACAAGCAGATCTTTACACTGGGGATAAAAGAAAATTAAAAGGAAACATTTCTAGACATTCATCAGGCATAAAACAAACTCTGGCCAGAGGTCACAACAACCAATCAAAAATAAAAACTACTGTACATGTACAGGTGTGTGCTCAACTTGAGGTGTGTAGTCAGTCAATCAGTAGATTTAACAAAAACTAGCCCAAATAAACACTAATGTCACTGAGAGACAGAGAGATCGGGAGGCAGCCAGCTATAACTCCAGATGTTTGCTCCTGGAATCTACTGCCAAAACTGCCCCGCTGTGCTCATTAAAACATCACTGGCACTTCTATCATTCATCTTAGCTTCACTGATATAAATGGTGTGGACAAATTAAAATCTAAACATTTAATTAAATAATAATAATTTATTTGTTTATATAGCACTTTACAACACTGAAAGGAGCTCAAAGTGCTTCACAACAGAGCATATAAAAATAAGAGCAGAACATGTTAAGACACATAAACAACAAAAGAAAAGTTAAAATTATACAAATTTAAAACAACAGTCTGTGAGCAACTATAACACTCCTGCACAATAAAAATGAGTCAAAGTACAAATAGAATAAGATTGCAGGAAATAAAATCAGAAAGCCTGTAGGCACCTGTATAGCACCACTGCTAAAAATTTAAGTGCCAAAAGCCAGTCTGAATAGGTGTGTCTTTAATTTAGACTTAAAAACCATTAACTCATTATAGGCCAAAGCTCGGGGGGCAAGGTATTCCAGAGCTTGGGGGTATATACAGCAAAAGAACAATCGCCCCACTTTTTGTACCTTGCCCGCGGGACAACCAGAGACAAGTGCTCAGAGGAACGCAGCGCTCTGATCGGGGTATGAATAATTAAAGGATCAGACAAATAGGCTGGAGCAATGGCCTTGAACACGAACAGCAAAATTTTAAAATCAATTCTCGACTGTACCGGAAGCCAGTGAAGAGACTGGAGGGCAGGGGTGATGTGAGCATACTTTGGGGTATTTGACAGTAGGCAACCAGCCGCATTCTGTACTAGCTGGAGCCTACGGAGGAAAGACTGGTTAATTCCAGTATAGAGGGTGTTGCAGTAATCAAGTCGTGAGCTAATGAAAGCATGAATGGCTTTTTCAAGGTCGACTTGAGATAAAAAGGGCTTCACCTTTGCTAGGACCCCCTGTTGAAAGAAGCTTATTTTGACCACAGAACTAATCTGCTTGTCAAATTTGAGGCTGCTGTCAAATAGCACTCACATTTGTCTATGCAGCAAAGTTGGACAGTAGCATAAACCAGAGCCAAAACAAAACTACTGAACATTATGAGTTCCATGAGGAGGATTTATTGCAGGACTGTAGGATTAGACAGACCCATGGTGGTTTTAGCTTGGACCTGCTAATAAATTGTGACACTGGCAGAAAATGAGGGTCCAAACATGGACAGGAGATTTAGTAGGCAGCTCTCTCTTCAGGGACTGACTGAGGACTCCCGGTGGACACAAACACTGTGAGCATATGTAGACAAACTCTAGCATTGTTTGTTGAAGTGAAGGGATTATACACTGGCATAGTCAAAGGCTGACAAGCTGACTGGACTGGGCTGATGATGGTCTGATGAACAACAAGACCCAGGTCACATCCAGGGAGGCAGAATCTGTAAGCAAACACAAGGTTAATACTCTGAAACATTAAAACTACCATGTCAGATTGCTGTGTTAGCAACCAGTTGCCTAGTTCCACAACCAGCAGACACAAACGTCACCACCACTGCACCAACACCAATTTACAGATTATTTCTTAGAATCCTGAACTGTGACTGTGTGAACGTTGCAGTGTCGACTGTATGTTGACTAAATGTGCAATTGGTGTATTGCACTCAGGGTGAGTCTTAATAAAAAGGCCTTCTTTGAAGTTACATGAGGACATTTATGATCAAGGCTTACACGTGTTTGCCTCCATGTGTCTGAACTGTGCATCTAAACATCTTTACTTGGTGTCTGGAGCCCTTTAACATTCCACAGTTGTTTGACTTATTATTAATATAAGACAAGTGATGAGTGAAGGGCTGAGAGGAAACCTGTGTGGTTTGCACTCCCAAGCACAAATAATTTTCCTTCTTCATTCTAAAGTTTGTCTTTGCAGATGAGTGATTTTCACATTTCGACTGCAGAGAGAAAGAAAGGCTGGTGCTGCCAAGTGTATCACCAGCTCTTCTTATTCAGGATGAATGATCCCACTGTATGTGAGAGAAAATGTGCAACATCTGCTTAATGGTGAGAAAGAAATGACATGAAACTCCACTTTATAGAGTGCTGAAGTGAAACCTGCAGCCTCATCTTGAAGTGGTGGCTGATAACAGCTGCTGCAGTGGAGTCTGATGTTCAGGCCTGTAGGAATGTGTGAGTTATTTTGCATCTAAATGCAAACACAGCAGAAAAAGCTGTAAAACGTCCTGTGTAGATGATGTGTTTTAGTTTTTAATTATGTCTACAGCTGCAGCAGTGACACACAGCTCAAGGAGGATATTGTAAAAACAGAGATCCAGTGGCAGTTGTCTCATTGCTAACTTTTTGTGCTCACTCAGTTCAGATGTCAGTACAGATTCTGCTGCTTTCATCAAAATGTATTCATTTTGTCAGGTGATGTCGGGACCATAAAATAATGACCTGGCAGCTGACTGGCCTGCTCACTGCTCACCAGATGGGGCTGCAGTATCGCCAAATGAAAAGATGACACGCAAGGTGAGATTGAACTGTTTTATACTGTCCAGGTGTTTCACTGTGGACAAACTGTGGATTCACAAACCTGAAATATACACAAATCATTTTCATGCTTTAATACAACAGCAGAGAGGAAGCCTTTCCTAAACTGAATGTAATGTGTGGGAAGACAAAACAAAACTGATGTGAATTTATGTGAACATGTCACAGATAATCACTTTAATATGAAGAAGCCCTAATTCAAGCCCTTTATAGGGAAAGTTTTATTAAAGCATGAAAACAAATTAGCTCTCGCAGGCCGTCTCCCCTCAGCGGCACAATGTTTAAGTGAATCCCAAACACACTGAATCACACATGCTGCAGCGTTGTTTCACAGGATGTCATCTCAGCGTAATGGAAGTTATTTCCTACTGGTTACACAAACTAACTGTTAACACTAATCTGATAAGTCTGTGTGTGTGCAGGCCTCAGAGCTTACCGTCCATTTATAGTTGCAGCTTCCAGCTGCTGCATGTGGTCATTTGCACTATTCTAATCACTGTTCTGGTAGTTTTACTCATTGTCATTATTTAATTTAAACAGAGGCACATTAATATTCTCCTTCTGAACTCGCTCTATCACAAACAAAACTGTCCTTTAGTTTGCACAACTTTTAGGGCCATATCAATATTCTCTTTAACTCACTCAGCCTTATTCATTGTATATCCTTATTGCTGTCCCTGCAGCTAGAGCCGTGCCGTCCTGGGCTTTTCACTAACACAGTAAACAGTCTGGTTTCAGTGATTTTGCTAATTTGCAAAAACAAATTCATTTATCTAAACACGACAACATGCTTGTACACAACTCTGAGAGGACAAACTGCTCACAAATGATTCAGTAACATTTGTGCTGAGTACAGTCCACAGTCCATTAAAAACCAATTTATTCATTAATAATTAGTCCACAGTGACGGTATCTGCAGTCTGGAGAAAAGAAAATCCAGCTTCTATAATGCACTGTGCTGCAGCTTTACCAACCTCATCATTACCCCAGCTAAACCGGGTTCATTAAAAATACATTTATTCACTTTGACGCTGCTC